CGTCACGCTTCGCTAACTTTAATCCCGCTATTATATCGAAGTTGGATTGTTGGTTCGGTTAACGAGTATAAAGGACCAAAGGCTGGAAGGAGCGAAATAATAACTCAATTATCGGCCAGATCTACAATATATACTGAGTGACAAAAGTAAAAGAACACCAAGAAGCAAATTTTATTTTTCATTCAAACTGTAGAGAGTGTGTACAGCACCACGGTGGTGCAACACATTATTAATTTTTTTTTAAGTTTTGTTGTTAATTTGATGACTTAATTTTAATCATTTGTTTATTTTTCACTTATACATGTAACTAGAATAAATGGTTAAATTTCAACAACTATTTTTTGGTGTTCTTTTACTTTTGTCACTCAGTATACAAAACTTCATAAAACGCTTCGTTTAATAATTTAGCTATATGCTAATTTATAAATTTACTCCTATTTTAACTTTTCAGAATTTTATATCATATCTTGGTATCAATAGTTGTTATTAACTTTTGCATTATTAACTCTTTTTTCTTAGTTTTGATCAATAAAATTTGTTATAGTATTTGAAATAAATTTAGCTATACTATTAGAAATAAATTCATGCATAATGTACAAGAATTTAACGTTGATTTCCCGATTATGATGCGTGAATTTATTTCCAATACTGTATAAACATATGTATATAGATTTGTATAGATAGGTATAGATTTTTTCTGTATAATTATTTGGGTGACTTTAAGAAGAAAAGTTTATATCAATATATGTCCTAAACCTCTTAGTTTTCGAGCTACAGAGGGTTACAGTTTTAGAAAAAAAAAACTTTTCTATCAAAATTTTCTTATTACCTACTCCAGATACTTTTATGAAATTTCTGACGTGGACGTTACTGGTAAAAAAAAATTATTTGCAGACCCAATAAACTAGGGAAAAAATTGTTTTGTTTTTAAACTTTTCTTCTTCGGCACTCAATTAATTAACATCCTGTATATCTGGCGATTTACACAACACAATAAATAATTATAAACGATTTAACGTTTGGAATTAGAACTAAATTTATTTTGATTTTGAAAGGCATTTTTCTAAAAACTCGCAATTTTGAAGAAATATCCATTAGTATTTTTTATAGCCGTTCCAAATTCCAAAAGTTAGATGGCCCACCCTTTATAAGAAATCTTTTATAGGTAGTTAGTTACATAATGTTTTTTTAACATTTTTGAACATCTCGAATAAACAACTCTCGAAAATCCGCGGGGTAAAATTTCGCCGAGCCCGAAGTCCCAACGTTTCATATTATGCCCGTAGCATTGCCGGGGCACCGCAATTCGAAATTGATATATACGAAAGTCTTTAGATGTAGATAAGGCCTTCGTGAATCGGAGACCCGACTTTTCGGACGACCGTATTATCCATCTTATCCTTTCTGTCAATTTTAATGAGGAATGAAATTATCTCGGGACCTCCGTCGAGCGCACGGAATCTCGAATTCGATCCTACGCGACTCGCACACCAACCCAGAAGGGTTAGAAATACAAAAACACAAATACCTATAAAGTATACAGGGTCGGTCCGCTGCAATGTGGGCCTAAAAATAATATACAAGTGCGAGAAAGACAGTGTGCCTGAGAAAGAGAGTGTGTCATTGTAATAATTATTACACGAGAAGGAGAGAGCAGGACTAGATATGCCCTTGCTTCGGCTGCTGACCGTAACATATACAATTGTTCGAGTTTCTAAATTGTTCAGGACTGTTTTAGAACCATTTAGAACTATTTAACACTATTAAGAGCTGCTCAAAGCCATTTATAACTGTTCAAAACCATTTAGAATTGTTCAAAATCGTTTAGAACCGACCAGGACCATTTGCACAGTTTAGGATAATCTTAGAACCATTTAGAATTGTTCAGGCTCATTCAGAACCATTTTAGAATCGACTAGAACCATTTGAAATAGTTCAGTACGATCTTAGAACCATTTAGAACTTACCAACATCGTTTAGAAAAGATTCCGGACTGTCTGGAATAAGCTGGAATAGGCTCTACTTAACTCAAGGTAATCAGAAACAAATTTATACAATGATAGAGATTGTAGTAAAAAAACATCGTGGAATAAAAAGGCTTTGGGTATAAGAATATCGGAGAGGACGGCGCGAATTCTCGACGGGCAAGCGACCTTGTAATCGTCGACAGTTTTTAAAATAGAATCGGTAGCAAACCGCAACGTATCTAATTAATATCTATGTTTATTCGGTGCACAACGTTATTTACTTTTTTCTAGAGACAAGGCGACCGACGGCCGATAGTGAACCGTAACAGAATTGTTGTGATTTTGTAGGTCGCTCAACCACTGAGAGAGGATATTTCTACAGCGCAACCGGCCGATAGATAATTCTTTGCGTATATTTTTAACTTGCAACAAATACAAGGACTCTTAAATATTTTTAAAAATTTATACCATTCTCTGTTGAGCTCTCTTTATTTGCTTTACTGCATTACAATTAGAATAGAAGCCTGAGAAATGAAAAAATGGGCCCTAATTTTCGATTTAACAGTTCGCTTAATTAAATGATAACTTATCGCATGAATATAAAAAAACCCATATTTTCAGTCACCTGGTATAACAACGGTTCCGATCGCCCCAACCGTTCGGAGCTTTTACCCCTCCGGGGAATGAGCAAATAGAAGAATGGAGATTGCGAGGTAGAGATACTTATACCTGCCTAGTTCGAGTACTCAAACTCAAATGTCGATAAAAAAATATAAACGTTTACGAGGCGCATGAGATCAACCAAATTATTACATAGGTAAAAAAGAATATTCAGAAAAATTTGTATAGGTATACTACAAGGGAATTTGAAGGTAATGAATTAGTTTTCAAGACTTATTATGTAGTAAGTTTTCGTTATAGTGCAGTAAAGGGTATAAAAAATAATCCGAACAGACCGGTGTTCTAGCAACATTTTTTTACCAAAACTGACTATTATACCTATCAGGTTTTTTCACTTAGTATTGAGCATACTAAGCCCTATATTTTTCACAATACACGTAGAATGTGAAATGTAACAGGTTTGTTCCTACAAAAAGTCAATGATTTCACACAAACAATATAACCTATAATTAACCTATATTCGAAAATACAAATTAAACCCGAATTGAAAATGCGTTGCGCCGGATTCTAAATCTCTGTACTATCAGCAAATTTATCTGACTATCACAAAACCAGTCCCTTGAACTGTTGGAACAATAAATTGTTAACCAAGTCAGAGATGTTTGTGGAGTTTGTTGGAACGCCTAAATTGTGACTGCGCAGACTCCTGACGACCACCGGCTATTTCTGACTGTTGTAGGAACAAACCTATTATAAACAAAACATTAACGTAAATAGTAGTCCTAATTCAAATAAAAATTGACTCAAATTGATTTCAGCTTTCAATGATAAATGATTTTACCGGATTTTACAGCTTACCAGTTTTTAGTTTTCGGAAAAATCACTGAGTTATAATGCCGGATAACCGAGATTGTACCCACTAATTTGACAGAACAACTGGGCATTATTAAAAAGTGCTTGGCAGTGTTAAAATTAAAAATAAGAATTAAAATAAAATCGGCGGCAAGTACGGCACTGTCTGGGTGTCACTAAAGTGGATATGCATTTGGAAAAACCAAACTGCCGTGCATAATTTCAATGTACTCCGGATGTAGGTATGTACGAAATCACGTTCGATTAATGCATCACGATTGTTTGAATGAATAAATAAGCTGGTTTGCCAAGGAACACGTTTTACATTAAACCAAAAGTTGTAGAAGAAGAAACAAAAAGGCAAGCTACATTTAGATTTGTTTTATACTCAAGCACAGAGTTTGGACAAAACTAAAGGGAAATAGGAGGTTAGGCACAAGTAGAAAATAACTACAACCAAATTTTTGAGAAAACTTATACCTACTTACTTGGTGTTAACGAGAAATTGGCCTTTCTTATAGTAAAGCCAATAAATAACCAAATGTTTCCAACGCTGAAAGATACCTACAAAACGTAAATATTCGTCATGCGGCATGCGATCATAAACTTGAAAGGTTCAATTTTATTGCTTTTTACACCATAAAGTAAAAACACCCCCCAACTCAACGTTCTCTTCGACACCGACTTTGGTATTCTTTTCGTTAAATTTTCTTCGATTTTATCCACAAACGTATTAATGTATAAGTAAATTCAAATTCTCGGTAAAAGCCAGATTATGTTCTAGTATTGAATGTCTACTAAATTGTTAATATTTGTCTTTTTAACCCGTTCCGAGTATAAAGGACGAAATCAATAAAGTCTATTAAAAATAGATTTAACATTTCTACCTGCATTATCTGATGGGAGGGAATTTTCGGAATTTTCCAGCCAATTAAGGAGCTCAAATATAGTGCAATATTTATTGTTCTGATTATATTTTCAAACTCTCCTGCTTTGTTTGTGTCTTTAAACGTATTTATTATGTATAACTTGGACATAATCTACTTTTTAAGTAATGCTTTCAGTATTTTGAAGGAGAATTACTGATCAACATGTGAGTTCCAATTACGAATGTAAATGCTGAAAATAGGTAAGTTTTTATACAGAAAAATCATGCTTGTTATCATCTTATTGTGTCTTTCTCATTCCTGTAGATTTTTAACTTTATATTTTAGAATTGTTTCTCTATTCATAAGAAGTATTAAAATTTCTAACTACAGCTCTACTTACTGAGTAATAAGGTACGTACTAGAAATACGAACAAGAGAAATATTATGCAAAAGAACGGTTTTTTATAGTATTACTCGCATTATTCATGCATACCTACATATTGCAAAATGCACGTAAAGAAGCATAGTAAAAGACCATTTTTACATTAAACGTCAAGTCAACCTGATTTTGAACGAGAAAATGACGTTTGTTGATTGTCAATTCAACTGTTTACGCTAAAATACCAGCGAAGCGAATAAACTACAAACGCTAATAAAACAAAACTATTTCGATACGATCGATTCGACCTACCTTCTCACAGATCCCCGAAGATGCTCATGGTAATATCCGAAAAGACGATGGGGCACTGTAATCCGAAAGGTACACTGCACTAAATTTTATTTTGTTTGCACTGACAATTACACATTAAACATCACAGCTCACCGATTATGAATTACTAAATACACTACGTTTTGTTTTCTCTCGCCTGCATGATCCGTACGGCGAAATTTCCGTAACGCGTACAAGCGTACACAGTCGAAAAACGCACAATAATCGCCCTTAGAGGCGAACATAACCTATGCACGGGCACATTTTCGCCGGTTCAACGGCGTTTTTCCGCTGGCATCGTCCGAATGCACGTCGCACAACCCGCCCGAATCGCCGAGGAAAATCGGGAAAGCACCGCGTCAGTTTCCCATCGTGAGGGTGTGTAAATAGAAGCGAATTTTCGCGGAGCAACGGCCGGATCCAAAGCACTCTACGATCTCGCTCGACAGACTGATGCGTTTCGTTTTCGTTCACAGCTGTGTAAGAGAGAGAGGGACCCCCGGTACATAGGCGGCTATGTATTTATTTTCCCCCTTATGTACCGGTCGGTACATAGACCGTTTCTACCGGCGGTTCGTATTCTGCTTCTGCCAGCTTTTGTCGAGAATATGTGTGTGTATACGTGCACGCGCTGCTGAAATTTTTGCTTTTTTCTTTTCTTTTCGTTTTCTTTCTTTTATTCTTCTTCGTCCCGAAAGCCGAATGTGCGTCGGGTAGGATTAAGGTTATTCTTTATTATTTTTCTTTTTCTTGCATGATTACTTTAAACGGGAGATTATTGTGAACTGTTTTTTTTTCTAATGATTGGTTTAATTAATATTATACAGGGTGTATCAAAAAGATGGGTCATAAATTGTACCACATATTCTGCGGTCAAAATTAAGTCGATTGGACCATATTTACCTATATCCAAAATTTCATACAGAACAAGTTATAGTCTGTTTAAAGAGCATATTGAAAATTTACTTTTTTCAATAACTCCAAAAATAATCAATAAATCTTCATTAAATTTGGCAAGTACCTACCTATATCTATTTTATAAAAGGAGCATGTAATTAAAAAAAATTAACAAAATCGGACCGCCAAAAAAATTTTTATGGGGGTTATTTTGGTTATTTTTTATATTCTCTGGTTTAATGAATTAATTTTGAACATTTTTTGACTCTTTCTCGAAAAACTGATATTTTAACCATGCACAAATAACGAAATAACTGCCTACATTACAAGAAAAAATGCTCACATTGGATATTCGATATATGGCCAGCACACCCCGTTTTTGCAAACACATATTCTGCAGTACCGTTTTAATTGTATAAAAACGAATATTTTGTAATATTAAAGGTTTATTTGTGAACGTTAGTACTTGCCTCCCTAATTCTGGGTTCCCAACATATTCCAGTTTTTTTTGTTTTTCAACTCACGGACTGTATCATAATGATAAGATATTGTGATCTGGTAAAGGGTTTTTAGTGTACATATCTATACCAGGTTTTTACAAGAGACACAGAGATTTTTACAAAGGACAGTATATTGCCTAAATTTGGTCACAATATTGCTATACAGTAAGGCAATAATGATAATACCAATAGATATATTTTTTATGGCTTGTAATATATTGCAAAGTGTGAAAATGCTCTTATTTTTTGATATTCAAAATCGCCCTTTTAATACCTCCTTTATTAATTTCTTTGCTTATTTCCAGTTTCAATTTCTAGACACCCTGTATAGTCAATTTTTTTACAGCGGCGTTTGATATTATCTTATCTCAATACATTGATATAGGTGTACAATACCTATTATGTATAAATGTGAAAACTACTATGTACCAGGTAAAGGTAAGGTAAATAATGTAGGAGTAGGTATAGTAGATACCGATTTTATACAGGGTGTTCCAATGAAAAGTTGCCCCTTGAATAAGCTTATAATTTTTAAACGCCTAATCATAAAAACATGCGGTTTTTTCAAATATGTTTTGTTTTATTATATAAGTTTTGTTACAGTGATACAGAAATTATGCATTACCAATAAAGGGTGTTTTATCAAAATCTCCTCTTTTAAATTTACAGTAACCAAATTAATTTAAATGGAACGTCCTGTATATACAGAGGTATTTTAAAAGATTCACTCTTCTACTTTTCAAAAATATATTATTTGTAAATGTTATTCTACAAAAGAATTATTTCATAAAATTAAGTTATTGTAAATGTAAAAGAGGGGTTTTTATGAAATATCCTGTGCAGGCGATACAACATTTTTGTCTCACTGCAACAAAAAGTTATAGTAAAATAAAATATATCTGTCAAAACCGCATGTTTTTATCATTAGGCGTTTAAAAAATTGGGACACCCTGTATTATTTGTACACGTTATTCTACAAAAGAAGATGTTATATTTTATAAAATTTGGTTAATGCGAATTTAAAAGAGGGGATTTTTATGAGACACCCTGTAACATAAAGTTATAGCAAAATCAAATATATCTGCGAAAACATAATTAGCATAATAAATTTTTAGCAAAATTTGTGACTGATCTATTTAATTAATATCAACACATTAGTTCCATAATTATTTCGATAATTATCTATAAAGTGTGGAAATTTCATTACTTAGAACTTCAGTTTTTGAGATGTGTTAAACTCAAATTTAGAATACGTTTTAGGCGCTTATATCATGGAGGATATTGAATGGTTTTGAAAATCCACGGGGAGATTTAAAAACTCATTATTAGGCCAGTGATCATGGTTCATTCAAGGGCGATATCCACTTTTTCCCATGTAGATCTAATAAATTCTGAATTAATGATTTTCTGTATAGTTTGATGTAAAGGAAATTCATATTATTAATTCAGGCTAGAAAGCTCTGAATATATTTGAATTAATCGACCTCGATGTTTTCGATTAATTCATTTTTTCTGCATGATAACATGTATTTCAAACTTGAGTTAAATATCTGAAAACCCTATAGAAATTATTAAAGAAAAACCTACAGGTTGATTTATTTTAGTTTACAATATAGGTTATAGGTAGGTATGGGCTATTGGGTGCGCAACAAAGACAACTTTCATTAAACATTTATAAAGGAAAACGAAAGAGTGACATATTACTGTTACTTACTGTACTTACTACTACTACTACTATACTATGAGCGCAGGCGAAGCTTGACCGAGACAGCTCAAGGCAAGGTTCATACACTGAGGCTTCAGACAGGCCATTCCTGCTGCTTATGCATCCATCATGCATGAAGCCGAGACTCTCGATGAAGGCTTCAGTTTTTTTCAATGGATGCCTGTTTGTGTCTACAGGGACCATAACAGGGGCTCCAAAGTTTCGCCTGCGAAAGCACAGCTCAAAGTGAACACTGTAAGACAGACAACAGTTACGCCCTGTTAGGAGTCCTGCTATCTAATTTAACCTATTCCTTGGTAGTTCTTCAGCTTCCCTAGCATGATATTGTTTCATTACAATTTTTAACTCTACAACAATTGACAATGACCATATTGCAAACACAAATGCACCATAGGGTGTAATAAAATCTTGAAATTTCAACACTCTATATCGATCTGTGTAACGAGGCATTTGTAAAGCTTTTGTTCATGAATTATATTCTTCCAAAACTATAATTCAGTTAATTAACACATTTGACATGCAAATTACGAACAATATGCGACATTTAATTAACGAGCTTCATCTTAATTCTCTCAACTACATACAACCTTAATACTTACACCGCATCATAAAAAAACCTGACACCCCAAACTCATTCGAGTCGTTATTAGGCCCACCCTAGCTGTCCCGCATAAACATCCTCATATATCGATAACATTAAAAATTCCACATGTCTCGTCAACGATCCTTTATCTACTTCGAAGCATAGCCGTAGTTTAGGCGACGAGATATAGGTACATATAATCCTAATACCAGAAACCGGAACGATTTATTCCCATCGGGAAGTGTTATTTCCGGAGGTTTCGCATTTACGATACGAGATAGATGAGGGAAGTTAATTTCGACGACATTAATAAACCGTTAGGCGTTCATTAAGATGGAGCATGAGAAAATGTTTGAAGCTTGCTAATGATATGCAGAGTTAGAATTGTTTCAGGATCGTTGGGAAAGTTTATTATATGTATAGTATAGTATAATTCATTATACTATATTATAACTATTACTATAGTTAGATAACTATTATAACTATAATTCTATTAACAATTACAACTGTTACTCTATTATCTATTATAATTATTACTTACTGTTATAGGTACCAATTAGATTCTTACTTTCATTTGTCCTTTATCATTTATATTTTTATGACCCCTGTTCTTTTTTCGTTAAAATTCTTAATAGTTCATATTTGGAATCCCTTTTTAATGGCATCACAAAATCTCTTAATTAATTCATAATAAAATGTACCAAAGCCCTTTGAAAGTCCCTAGGGCGCTCCCTTGGCTCGACGTTTATCCTCTTCCAATTCATCAAAATACGCTTCCAATTCCAGGAACTCCGTCCGTCTCTTTTTATCTTTCATACGGGCTTTTATACACGTAAAATTATTCACGGAACGGTCTAGTTCCGTCTCCGTCGCGCCCGCCCTGCGCCCATGCTCCGTCCTCGTCAGTTTGTTGCCCCAAGGCTGAGCCGATGCTTTTATGTTCCGTAGCAGCTTGCTGCGACGTGGACTTGGGCCAATGAATTAATCTAGCCGGCTACGCTGTTAAAAATCGGGCCGGAGCGCCGGCTGGGACCGGAGCGCTCGAACTCCGGTTTCCCGTTTAGAGTGTACTCTCGAACCAATGATTAGTGGGGTAAAGCTCTAACGCTTGTATACGAGCGTATTTTATTGAACGGTGTGGTGTATAAGTTTTTTAATATAACAATAAATTGCGTTGTTTAGGAACGGTCGGCGCGGGAATGGAAATTTGGTTGTTTATTGAGGGTTAAATTAGATATCTCTGATTAAGGCGTTGTTACTAATTAAAAAAGTTAATTAATGCGTGATTTGGATTATTGTATAAGTATAATCTTGTCAAGTACCTATTATTTTTTTGTTTAATTATGTTGTAAAAATTTGATTGATTTGCTTGCTAAATTTATAAACGCTATAATGCTCTCTTATACTACCCTCAAAGATGTCTAAAGGTCGATTGCATATAAAACGTTAAAGTATCCACTAAAAAGGAGGCAAAAGAAGCTAAAGTGATCCTTTAATCTTATTCCTAATGTTAAATGGTTTCATAATACATGTAAAAGGTTTCTTTACGAAAAGGGTTCTTTAAAAATATTTTATTTATTTTATTTTATTATATAAGTTTGATAGGTACCCTGAAAATAGGTATAGATCTCGAAAAACAAAAATACATACTATATGACGTTTAACTTATTGGTGATTGTAAGTTGGCAACACTGTTTCTTTTGTCAGACGAAAAATTTAGTAAAAGTCTAGCTTGTCGTATATTTTTGAAAACGGTTCCTCTTCTTTTCCTATTTAGACTTTTGGTTTTGTATAGGTAATATAGATAAATTCTTCATCAGACGAGCTTGAACTCGAAGTTTCGAAATTATTCAATAGGTATATCGCCCTTATATCGCCAAAAGTTTTGAGAGAAAATATTGTAAAATCTCTGAATATTACTTTTAAACCCTTGCGAAATCTTAAAAATCATCATTATCATCATCAAAAATGTATACAGGGTGATGGCGAAAAAGTATGGAAACGGTCGATTTTCAAGCAAATTAAGGTCAGAATTAAAAATCGAAACATCTTAACATAAAGGTAAACATCATAACAAGCAAACAACCAAACAAAACATCATCAATATGC